TATTAACCGTGTTTCTGGATCTACTAACCGTATTACCAATTGTATTATTGTGTAAATACATTTATTTGTTATATTTCATTCCTGCGTTTGTCATTCATTGGAGACCGGATTTCACCTCGGAATCCACAACAATAGCAATACCTAAGAAATTATGCGCAAACGAATGTGAACTTCACCGAACAATCAGCCTAATGAGCCACGTAACAAAACTCATCATCCGTATTCTGTTGAATAGATCGTGCAGCAGTATCAGGTCAGTGATAGGACAAGAACAGTGCGGGTTCGTTAAAGACACCGGAACTAGGAAACCGATATGCATGCTCAGAATGTTACCAGAAAGAGCAATACAAATGCAGAAGTACGTATGCTTTTTAGCCTACGCAGAGATCTCGACAAAGAACGCCACAAGGATCTGTTGGAACTGCTCAGCAAACTTGATATATTCCAGAAAGATATTAGAATAATAATAATCAAGAACCTATACTGGCAGCAAACAGCATGCATGCGCATAGGGAACGAGTTCACTGAATATACAAAAATAGAAAGGGGCGTAAGGCAAGGATGAGTCTTCTTTCCGGGCCTATTCAACCTATACAGCGAGGCAATTCTGAAAGAATTGGAAATCTTAAATTGATTCAGCATCAGCGGCTACAATCTTAACAGCATAAGATATGCAGAGACTGCTGCAAACGCTACTGCACAAACCAATGTCAATGATGGAAACTCTGTAGTGTGGTGAGACGACCACACACTGCACACTTTCCTTCCAATCATTGCTATAAACAACGGAAATGAGTGACAACGTTATAACATAGTATGCATACTCGACAGTGTTCACGGTCAATCTGTGCCAATCGGCGTCATTCAGCGTATTTTAGCTTCGTATGTATAGCAATATTACTGATACATTTTGATCAGAATCTCTATCTATAAAAGGCAGGATGTGTGTGTGTGTGTGTGTGTGTGTGTGTGTGTGTGTGTGTGTGTGTGTGTGTGTGTGTGTGTGTGTAACGAATGCACGGCCGGAACTTTCGATGGATTTGCACCAAAATTTACATGCACATGCTTCAAGTTAGCGGTAAAGGCCAAGACCGACTTTGCATTTCCCAACTCCCATCGATAGTGGAAATAATCCATTTTTTAATGCTTCTACGACAGTTTTCATGTAGTTTGCGGCCATTTTCTACTGGCCAGAGTGAGAGCCTATAGCTGGCTGCCACGAATAGGCAGGAAGATTCTATTGGCCAGCGTGAGAGCCACTGACACGAATATTAACTAGCATGCTAGCATGCAAAAATCAATAGCTGCATTCGTCACAATTGGGAAACATTTAAATCTGCATGGCACTTTACTCCACTTTACTTGGCTCATTCGCTTGCTTAAACTGAACGTTGATTCTGATTCCGCAGAACTGGGTTGGGTGTGAAAAAGTATTTGTTGTTAACATTCTTTTTTCATTCGGTTTTTCCAGTTACGAGTCCTTTTTTAAAGCTGATCGTTTTGTGTTCATTTTGTTTAGTTCTTTTTTCGTAACAGATTTAATCTTTACTATAGAGCTTAGAACAAATTCGCAGTGTGTGATAGGCAAGAAGTAAAGCATGCAGCAACATCAGCACGGCAAAGGCCACTCCTTTAAAGGCAAGGAATGGCAAAAATATTTTAAGTCAAGTGATAGCGATTGCTGTATGAGTCTTGCGATTTTTGAATCAAGCACGGGCAACGCCGGGCCATGGTGATGAGTCTTATATATGAATAGTTTTTGCAGAAATAAAGGAAGAAAGAAAGAAACTTGACTCTCGTCCGACTATAAATTACTTTGTAATTACGATAAAAAATACTCGTCAAATTACTAATAAATAATACCAGTAAAAAAGGAATAATCCTTGATAGTGCTTAGAGATAATACTAATATGACTAATATTAAGAAAAAATGGAAGAAATCCTCGTCAAAAAAGAATAATGGTTGACAATATTTCATCTCATAAAAATGGCCGATGATATTCTTTTTTATGTGCCGCGTTGCCTCAGGACATAGGCGATCATGGCCCTCCACAATTTTCTGTCAATTGAAGTTCTTAATAAACTTTAACTTTCTGTAACTTTTCCTAAGGCCTGTTCCATCATCCACTTAGTCAAGCTCACTAATTATGTTATCCGTTGTTTTCCACTGTCAATCTTCCCATCTGTTCCGTGAGTATCAGATTTTCTAAGCCCTCTATCCTCATATTATGTGACTCAGAAATCTCAACTGTCTCTTCCTAGTGTTAACTTTTAGTTTCTTTTTTGTTTCTATTTTCAAACAAACTTGGTTGTTGCTCACCTCTTCGAACAAAGTTTCGTCAACATCCTTATGTAAGAACCACATTTCTGTTGTTTGAAGTCTCCCCTATATCTTTAATGAGATCGTCCAGCTCTCACGGGTATACAGGAGGACGTATATCACGTATCAGTTTAGTACTTATTTTTCTGTTTCTCAGTACTCTGCTTAGCTTTTGGAATGCATATTCGGCTATCCCAATACGCCTTCGGATTTCACTGTCACAGTATCCGTCTTGTGTTAAAATATTCCCGGGTATTTAACCTATTGCACTTGTTTGATTTTGGTACCTCCGATTTGTAATTCGCTCATCCTTGTGCTCACAACCATACCTACTGTCGTCCTTCATTTGATGTTTACTCCTATGTTCTCGTTTTCCTTTACTACCTTCTATTGGAGAATTTGTAGCTTTCTTTCAGTATCTGCTACAAATACCGTATCGTCTGCATACCTCATATTGTTAAGATTGTGACCGCCATTAATGAATGCTAGTCGTTCTTCCAGTTCTCTCAGAATTGCCTCGCTGTATAAGTCGAATAAGTCCGGTGAGAAGACACAACCTTGTCTTACACTCCTTTCTATTTTTGTATATCTGCTGAACTCATTTTGCATCCGGATGCAAAGAGTGTCCTGCCATTATAAGTTCATTTTTATTCTAATATGCTTCCCAAATATATCAAGATTGGCGAGCAGCACCAGCAGACCTTTTTGGCGGAATTTATGGAACGCGTTTTTTGTAATTTATAAACCACAGGTAAAAACCCTCTTGTATTCTTATTGCTTTTTCTGATAACATACTGAGCATAAATATCGCGTTCTTTGTTTCCAGTGTCTTTGACGAATTCGCGTTGTTCTTGTTCTATTTCCAATTTGATTCTTCTGCAGACAGTTTCTATCTGAATTTGGATGCACATGGATTCTTGGACAGTGCTATAGAAAATAGATCTCCCTGAACATCAGAACTGTTGTCGATGTTATTTATTATTTCTGTTATGTTGCGTATGCCGAAATTGACTAAGTCTGTCAGCATATCCGTTATAATTTGGATGATATGTTTCGTTATAGGGCTCCTCTAGATGATTGTCTGACAGAGTTCCCCTTCGTTGGCACATGGATTCTTGGACAGTGCTATGAAAATAGATTTACTTAGGTCCCCCGGAATATCAGCACTGTTGTTGATTTCATTTATTATTTCTGTTATATTGCGTATGACAAAGGCTGTCAGCATATCGGTTATAATTCTGTTTGGCCCTGCCACTTTGTTTCTGTTCAATTTGGGATGCGGAGTCCATTTATGGTTTTCATATTTCTTGTGTATCGCCGGCTGTTCTCTTACATCATGGAAATGTTCGTCCATATACGTTAGACTTTATACATCCTGTTGATGAGCATGTCTTTTGACCTGTGTCTTCTCTAATTTATTTCTACTTATATGTTTTATTCGTGATACTCTTTCTTTCTATTCCTGAAAATTTTTCGTTGGGCCATTATTCTTTAGCCTGTTTACATTTGTTCTTTATTTCTTTGGTTCGTGTCCTATATTCTGTTCCGTATATTGGCATAGATTCTTTAACTTTGCCACCGTTTAGAGAATTCTGTCTGTCATCCATTCATCTTTCTCTTCGTTTACATTTCATTGGAAGATCCCGTTTGCTGGTGGTACTAAAGCTTCTTTTAAAGTGTCTCATTTCCAATTCAGATACGGTTCGTTGAACAGTTTGCAATATTGAAATTGGTGTACTGCCTTTTCAATTTCCGTAGTTTCATTCTAAGCTTCCATATCACTGAGAGATGATCGCTCCCGCAGTCAGCACTTTAGTATGTTTTGCAGTGTAAAACTGAATTCCTAAATCTCTTGTTGATAGCTATGTAGTTGATATATTTCTTTTTGTTTCTCCTCCTGAGCTTATCCATGTCCATAAACGCCTTGTATTTTCTTTAGACAATATGTTGGCATTAGTATTACTAATACTAGGAGTGGTAATAAAGCAATCGAAATGAATATGAAAAAAAATATCCGAGAATATAATGTCAGAATAATCATCTTGAAAAATGGGACGGTAAATTTTCAGTACCAACATGGGTTTCTTTTGAAAACACATTAAGAAAAATCAGGAATCCTAAGAGTCATTCTGACTCAATGAGAAAACACACTGCCATTTGACCCTCATCGGAAACTACCGTAAAATTAAGATTCAAGAACACTAATAAGAATAAAGAATTCAGGCGGGAACAGGGTGTACTTGGTGTCACTTGATCTCCAGCAGATTTCTCAAGTAAAACTCAAGTAAATGAAATAAATTGCACGTGATATAAAATAAGGTTTGTTGCTTCAATCCTCATAATTGTTTTACAAGAAGATTATTGGCTAATCGGATTTAATGGTGTGAGTTAAGGAGCACAGGGGGTGGGTAGGTCTTAATGACTGGGCTTCTCCCACGTGAGAGGCAATAAATTAAAGGGCCAATCAATTGTCGAAGAATTCCAAGAACATCGCTTTTCTTCATTCAATCTTCCTTTGTATTTTATATTTTATCGTTTTTCTTTCTTTTCGTTTACTTTCTTTAGTTTTCATTCATTGACTTTCACCTCGCGATCTTTTTTTCTTTTCTCTTTCATTTTAGCCTCGTTTTCTTTCATTCTTTCTCTATTTTTTCATTCTTTCTTTCTTTAATCTTTTTAGTTCATATCTCTTTTTATCTTTCATTTTTCATTTCCTCTTTCATTTTTATTAATCTTCTCACTCCCATCTCACATTCTTTGTTTCTTTTTTCTTTCTTTCTTTCTTTTTTTCTTTCTTTCATTCTTTCTTTCTTTCTTTCTTTCTTTCTTTCTTTACTCTTATCTCATTCACCACACATTCTTTCTTTCTTTCTTTCTTTCTTTCTTTCTTTCTTTGCTCTTATCACTTTCACCACACATTCTTTCTTTCTTTCTTTCTTTCTTTCTTTCTTTCTTTCTTTCTTTCGTCTTCTCTTTTTCACCCTCCATTCTTTCTTTTTTCTTCATCCTCCATTCTTTCTTTCTTTCTTTCTTTCTTTCTTTCTTTCTTTCTTTCTTTCTTTTCTTTCGTCTTCTTTTTTTTTTCACCCTCCATTCTTTCTTTTTTCTTTCTTTCCTCCATTCTTTCTTTCTTTCTTTCTTTTTCTTTCTTTCTTTTTTTTCTTTCTTTCTTTCTTTCTCCACCCATTATTTCTTGTTCTTTATTTTTTTCTTTCTTTACTTTCTTTTTTATCTCAGTTTTTTTCACCGCACATTCTTTCTTTCTTTCTTTTTTTCTTTTTTTTCTTTTCTTTCTTTCTTTTTTTCTTTCTTTCTTCACCTTTATTTCTCCACCCATTATTTCTTTCTTTTCTTTTTTCTTTCTTATCTCTTTCACCACATTCTTTCTTTTCGTTCTTTCTTTTCTTTTCTTTCTTTTCTTTCTTTCTTTCTTTTTTTTCACCCTCCAGTTTTTTTCTTTATTTCTTTCGTTCTTTCTTTCCTTCTTTTTTTTTTTTTCGTCTTGTCTTTTTCACCCTCCATTCTTTCTTTCTTTTTCTTCACCCTCCATTCTTTTTTTTTCTTTTCTTTCTTTCTTTCTTTTCTTTTCTTTCTTTCTTTCTCCACCCATTATTTCTTGCTTATTTCTTTCTTTTTTTTCTTTACCGCTCTTATCTCATTCACACATTCTTTCTTTTCTTTCTTTCTTTCTTTCTTTCTTTCTTTTCTTTTCTTTTTCTTTTTTTCTTTCTTTTGTTCTTATCACTTTTTTTGTCTTTCTTTTTTCTTCCATTCTTTCTTTTCTTTCTTTCTTTTCTTTCTTTCTTTCTTTTTTTCTTTCTTTCTTCTTTTCTTTTTCACCCTCCATTCTTTCTTTTTTTTCTTTACCCTTTCATTCTTTCTTTTTTTTCTTTCTTTCTTTCGTTTTCTTTCTTTCTTTTTTCTTTCTTTCTTTTTCTCCACCCATTATTTTTTGCTTATTTCTTTCTTTTTCCCTTTTTTCGTCTTATCTTTTTCACTCCCATTCTTTTCTTTCTTTCTTTCTTTCTTTCTTTCTTTCTTTCTTTCTTTCTCCACCCATTATTTCTTGCTTATTTCTTTCTTTCTTTACTCTTATCTCTTTCACCGCACATTCTTTCTTTCGTTCTTTCTTTCTTTCTTTCTTTCTTTCTTTCTTTCTTTCTTTCTTTTTCACCCTCCAGTTTTTCTTTATTTCTTTCGTTCTTTCTTTCCTTCTTTTTTTCGTCTTGTTTTTTTTTTCATTCTTTTTTTTTCCATTCTTCCATTTTCATTTTTTCTTTCTTTCCTCCTTTCTTTCTTTTTTCTTTCTTTTTCTTTTTCTTCATTCTTTCTTTTTTCCATTCCTTTCTTCTTTTTCTTTCTTTCTTTTCATTCTTTTTCTTTCTTTCTTTTCCTCCCATTATTTTTGCTTATTTCTTTCTTTCTTTACTCTTATCTCTTTCACCGCACATTCTTTCTTTCTTTCTTTCTTTCTTTCTTTCTTTCTTTTTCACCCTCCAGTTTTTCTTTATTTCTTTCGTTCTTTCTTTCCTTCTTTTTTTCGTCTTGTCTTTTTCACCCTCCATTCTTTCTTTCTTTTTTCTTCACCCTCCATTCTTTCTTTCTTTCTTTCTTTCTTTCTTTTTCTGTCTTTCTGTCTTTCTTTTTCACCCATTATTTCTTTCTTTCTTTCTTTCTTTTCTTTTCTGCACATTCTTTCTTTCTTTCTTTCTTTCTTTCTTTTTTTTCCATTAGTTTTTTTATTTCTTTATTTCTTTCTTTCTTTTTTTCGTCTTATCTCTTTTCACCGCACATTCTTTCTTTCATTCTTTCTTTTCTTTCTTTCTTTTCTTTCTTTCTTTCTTTCTTTCTTTTCTTTCATTTTTTTCTTTTTCACCCTCCTTTTTTCTTTATTTCTTTCGTTCATTTTCTTTCTTTCTTCTTTTTTTTTCGTCTTCTTTTCTTTTTTTCACCCTCCATTATTTTCTTATTTTTTTCTTTTCTTTTTCTTTCTTTCACCGCACCTTTCGTTTTCCTTTTTTCTTTCTTTCTTTCTTTCTTTCTTTTCTTCCTTTCTTTCTTTCTTTTTTCTTTCTTTTTTTTTTTCTTTGTTTTTTTTCCATTCTTTCTTTTTTTCTTGCCTCTTTTCACCCTTTCCATTCTTTCTTTTTTTCTTCACCCTCCATTCTTTTTTTTCTTCACCTTTCTTTCTTTCTTTTTTTTCTTTCTTTTTTTCTTTCTTTCTTTTTTCTTTCAACCACCCATTATTTTTTGCTTATTTCTTTCTTTCTTTACTCTTATCTCTTTCACCGCACATTTCTTTCTTTCGTTCTTTCTTTCTTTTCTTTCTTTTCACCTTTCTTTTTTTTCTTTATTTCTTTTTTTCTTTTATTTTCCTCTTTTTTTTTCTTTTTTGTCTTTTTTTTCACCCTCCATTCTTTCTTTTCTTTTTTCTTCAACCCTCCATTCTTTCTTTTTTTCTTTCTTTTCTTTCTTTCTTTCTTTTCTTTCTTTCTTTCTTTTTCACCCATTATTTCTTGCTTATTTCTTTCTTTTCTTTACTCTTATCTCTTTCACTGCACATTCTTTTCTTTCGTTCTTTTCTTTCTTTCTTTTTTCTTTCTTTCTTTCTTTTTTTTTCTTCCTTTTTCACCTTTCAGTTTTTCTTTTTTTTTTTTCGTCTTGTCTTTTCTTTCTTTCCTTCTTTTTTTTTTTTCGTCGTTTCTTTCTTTTTTTTTCACTTCATTCATTCCATTCTTTCTTTTCTTTTTTTCTTCACCCTCCATTCTTGCTTATTTTTCTTTCTTTCTCTTTTCTTTTCATTTTCTTTCGTTTTCTTTCTTTCTTTCTTTCTTTTCTTTCTCCTTTTTCACCCTCCATTTTTTTTTTATTTTATTTCTTTCTTTCTTTACTTTTATCTCTTTTTCACCTCCACTTTTCTTTTTCTTTCTGTCTGTCTTTCTTTTCTTTCTTTCTTTCTTTCTTTTTCTTTCTTTTTCACCCATTATTTCTTGCTTATTTCTTTCTTTCTTTATTCTTATCTCTTTCACTGCACATTCTTTTCTTTCTGTTCTTTTCTTTCTTTCTTTCGTTTTCTTTCTTTCTTTTTTTCTTTCAGTTTTTCTTTATTTCTTTTTTCACCTCCAGTTTTTCTTTATTTTTTCGTTCTTTTTTTCTTTTTTTTCTTGTTTGTCTTTTTTCAACCTCCATTCTTTTCTTTTTCTTTTTTTCTTCACCCTCCATTCTTTCTTTCTTTCTTTCTTTCTTTCTTTCTTTCTTTCTTTCTCCACCCATTATTTCTTGCTTATTTCTTTCTTTCTTTACTCTTATCTATTTCACCGCACATTCTTTCTTCCTTTCTTTCTTTCTTTCTTTCTTTCTTTCTTTCTTTCTTTTCTTTCTTTCTTTCTTTTTCACCCTTCAGTTTTTCTTTATTTCTTTCGTTCTTTCTTTCCTTCTTTTTTTCGTCTTGTCTTTTTCACCCTCCATTCTTTCTTTCTTTTTTCTTCACCCTCCATTCTTTCTTTCTTTCTTTCTTTCTTTCTTTCTTTCTTTCTTTCTTTCTTTTTTCTTTCTTCACCTTTTTATTTCTTCCTTTTATTTCTTTCTTTCTTTCTTTCTTTTTCTTTCTTTCTTTCCACCCATTTTTTCTTTCTTTCTTTCTTTCTTTCTTTCTTTTTTCACCCTTCTTTCTTTTTTTTCTTTTTTCTTTTTTTCTTTTTTTTCTTCAGTTTTCCTTTATTTTTTTCGTCTTGTCTTTTTTTTTTCCTCCATTCTTTTCTTTCTCCATTTTTTTTTTTTCTTCCCTCCATTCTTTCTTTCTTTCTTTCTTTCTTTCTTTCTTTCTTCACCCATTATTTCTTGCTTATTTCTTTCTTTCTTTACTCTTATCTCTTTCACCGCACATTCTTTCTTTCTTTCTTTCTTTCTTTTTCACCCTCCAGTTTTTCTTTCTCTCTTTCGTTCTTTCTTTCCTTCTTTCTTTCGTATTCTCTTTTTCACCCTCCATTCTTTTTTCTTTTTTCTTACTCTCCATTCTTTCTTTCTTTCTTTCTTTCTTTCTTTCTTTCTTTCTTTCTTTCTTTCTTTCACATCGCGTTCTTTCTTTCTTTTTATTTCTTTTTATTTTATTTTCCAATCCCTACACTATCATCTCATATTATTTTTTCTTTCTTTCCTTACTCTTCTCAAATTCACCTCCCTTTCTTTCATTCTTCTCCCACTTTCACCTCCCGTTTTTCTTTCTTTTTTCTTTTCTTTACTGCTTTCTTTTTAATCATTTTATTTCTATTTATTTCTTTCTGATCATTTTCACGTATCATCCATCTTCTCTTTTGGTCTGTTTTCATTTTTTTTATATTTTATATTTCATTTTCAACTTCTACTGATGGTCATTTTTTTGGTTCTTTTTCTTTCTTTCTAATTTCTTTCTTTCTTTTATTTTTCATTCATTATATTACACTTCATTTTCTTTTATATTTGAGAGGTTTCGTCTATTTTTGGGGGATTTACTCTTTTATTCTTTATTCATTTTCTTTCTTTCTTTTTGATTGCATTCGCCACCGCTTTTTCCTATCGTCTTCATTCAATTTTTACTTTCTTTGTTAAAATAAATTAAGGAAGGGATGTAAATAGTGGATAAATGAGGAAGAAAGAAAGAAAGAAAGAAAGAAACAAACAAACAAACAATGATAGAAAGAA